AACCCAAAAGTTAGAAAAATTAGTAGAAAATAGACGTTTTTGGAAGGAAAAAGAACCAAAGAAGAGACGGAGGAAGAGCCGACGACTCCAGAAAATAAAAGATTTTAACAGACAAAACCAGGAGTTATACTGGAAATATGGATCTATTCCCACAGACCGAGGCCAGTCTGAGTAATTTATATATCATTTAAATATAATATAAACTCTCCAGCAGACAGAGCCTGCAGACAGGGCGGGAACATAAAGGAAGACAAGTCTGGAAACACACTTTATCACCATAAAAACTGATTTTTTTAATGGACATAAAGCACAGAGGAGGCGTTTAGCCCTTGGAGAACAACAAAAACAGAAAGGTTTCTGCTTAACTGATGATTAAAAGTGTTTTCCTACCTAAAAAATTACGTTTTGAGGCCAGAAAATATTAAATCTGCAGATGGAGATGATAAGAAATGTAGAAAAATGAAGCCTGGAGACGTCTGAAGAGCTAAAAGGATCAAAACATTTTTCCCCCTGAGCATCATGTGAGCTCAGAACTAAAGAAAAGACTGTTTATATAAGTTACAACCAGTCGCACAAAAACATCAAAACTGCAGCAAAAAGGCTGAAAAACACTGTAAATCCTCTGAATTTGTAGAAACCTGAAAAAGGCCCAAAATTAGCCTAGTAAAATTCACAAAAGAAACAATAAGTTGGTGTCCAAATAAAAAGAAAAGTGACACAAAGGGCTGAAAAAGTAGAAAATTTTGGCAGAAATAAGCCTGAAATGAGCTGTGATGTCATTCACAGGTCATGTGACCTATGACCTCATTATTGGTCTCGTTTCTGGTATAAATTTGTTCTTTTTCTGGTCAGTTTGTGTATTTCTGGTCTAATTTTAGTCCTTTTTCTGGTCAGTTTGTGCGTTTCTGCTCTAAATTAGTTGTTTTTGTGGCAAGTTTATGTGTTTCTGGTCTACTTTTTGTCCTTTTTGTGGTCAGTTTGTGCGTTTCTGGTCTGATTTAGTCCTTTTTGTGGTCAGTTTTGCATTTCTGGTCTATATTTTGTCCTTTTTGTGGTCATCTTATGTGTCTGGTTTAAATGTTATCCTTTTTCTGCTCAGTTTGTGCCTGTCTGGTCTCATTTTTGTCCTGTTTTGGTCAGTTTTTGCATTTCTGGTCTAATTTTGGCCTTTTTCTTGTCAGTTTGTGCATTTCGGGGCTAAATTTAGACCTTTTTCTGGTCAGTTTGTGCTTTTCTGGTCTAAATTTGTCCTTTTTGTTGTCAGTTTGTGCGTTTCTGGTGTGATTTAGTCCTTTTTGTGAGCAGAACTTCAGCAGGCTGCTTTCTGCTGGCAGACCTCTGAGCTGTGAGGATCCTGGGCTCTGATTTATGGCCCTTCAGAGGCAGCCAGAATATGCTGTGCTCCAGCTCAGAGTTTAGATAAGGCCGCTGTGCAGCCTGGGTGTGTGTCAGGCCGTGACAGGTTGTGTGTTTGCCTCCTCACAGCAGAGCAGGGTGTAGTTTGGAGCCTTAAAGCAACCAATCTGCTCTAAAAGGATCATTTTCCACTCTGAAATTACACATCTCACAGCTTCTGTCTGCCACAAAAAGGGCAAATTTAGACCAGAAACGCACAAACTGACCACAAAACTGACAGAAATTAGACCAGAAACACACAAAAAGGACAAGAACTAAACCAGAAACGCACAAACTGGCCAGAAAAAAGACTAAATTAGACCAGAAATACTCAAAATGACCACAAAAAGGACAAATTTCCACCAGAAATGCACAAAAAGGACAAAAATCAGAACAAAAACGCACAAACTGACCAGAAAAAGGACAACAATTAGCCCAGAAATACACAAACTGACCACAAAAAGGACTAAATTAGACCAGAAATACACAAAGAGGACAAAAATCAGAACAGAATCGCACAAACTGACCACAAAACCCACTGTGTGTGACCTTAATCCAATCTGTTGCTGTTTGTGCATTCATAATCTAATTCAGTCAATTTCATAATCAGTTTGTGTATTTCTGGCCTAAATGTGTCCGTTTTCTGGTCAGTTTCCATTCACTGATTTTCCTGAAAGTACCCAGAACTGAAATGTCTCATTTCTTAATTTCTTCTTCTTGTCTTTCCAGAAGAAAAGCAAAGGAAAGAAAGGGGAAACGAGCGGGCGGCGAGATGACGGCGGTGAGTTCAGGGACCGTGATTTTCCGGTCAATCACTTAAGGAATTAGAATTAAGAATATTTAGTTCCCATTGACTCAGTTATATTTATTCATTTGGTTCTTATTATTCATTTATTTTTTATTTAATTTACATTTTATTTTTTTGTTCAAATTTCTTTAGTTTTTTATCCTGCATTTTTATTAATTTATTTGGTTTATTTTAGAAAATGCATATGTTTTGAATTTATTTCAATTAAAATATTTAAATATATTTGCTGTCATTTCATTATTAGTTTTGTAGTTCTTTATTTTTATGTCGTTTTTGAAAAATGATTTGTTTCCAATGCAATTAGTTTTTTTATCAATTATTTAAAAATAAAATAGTTTATAGCTCTATTTAATTTATTTAAATTTTTTTGGTTTATTTGATTTTATTGATTAGATTTAGGTAGTTTATTTCTACGTTTCTATGTGTAGCTGCAGTTCCTCTCTGGGCCTTTAGGGGTCAGTGTGTCTCTGAGCTCTTCTTCTTCTCCTCCTCTTCTTCTTCTTCTTCTTCTTCTTCTTCTTCTTCTGCTGCAGGCCAGCGGGTCCTGGAGGGGCAGCTGAAGGTCCTGAGGGAGGTCCTGTCAGCGGGGGGCAGCCCGGAGGGGGCGGAGCTACTGCGTCGCCATACCAACGAAGAAGTCTGCGGGCTGGTGCTCGCCATCCTGGACAAGGTGGGCGGGGCCAGCTAGCAGTTAGCCGTTAGCTGTTAGCAGTTAGCTGCTATTTTTTATTTTTTATTTTTTAACTTTATTAAACAATTTGAACAAGTTCACAATACCATGAGGCATGTACACGCAAGAAGAAAAAAAAGTCTTACAGGCTTATAGTTAGCTGCTATGTGTGCAGACATTTTTAGGCTCTTAGCATCAAATAAGTCTCTGTGGTGCATTCAGGGGAGCTGGGACATCTGGGTTTTTGCCTCCAGCCTCTCAGATGTTTCACTTCCTCTTCAGAAAAACCTCCTCCACATGCACGCGCTTAGTCTGACGTGCACGGAGCAGTTTATGAGGTCATGTGACATTTTGAGGCTCTTAGCATCAAACTAACTCTCTGTGGTGCATTCAGGGGAGCTGGGACATCTGGGATTTTGCCTCCAGACTCTCAGATGTTTTGCTTCCTGTTAAAAGAAAACTTCCATAAACACGTGTACACGCTTAGTCTGACGTGCACGGAGCAGTTTATGAGGTAATTTGACCTTTTGAGGCCATTATCATTAAAGTGTTTGACTCCGTGGTGCATTCAGGGGAGCTGGGACGTCTGGGTTTTATTATCCATCCTCTCACATGTTTCACTTCCTGTTTAAAGAATACCTTCTTTAACACGTGCACGCTCACACCAGGACGTGCACGGAGCGGTTTATGAGGTCATGTGACATTTTGAGGCTCTTAGCATCAAACTTTTTAACTCTGTGGTGCATTCAGGGGAGCTGGGACATCTGGTTTTTAGCATCCAGCCTCTCAGATGTTTCACTTCCTGTTAAAGACAACCTCCTCAAACACGTGCACACGCACAGCCTGACGTGCACGGAGCGGTTTATGAGGTCGTGACATTTTGAGGCTCTTAGCATCAAACTTTTTAACTCTATGGTGCATTCAGGGGAGCTGGGACCTCTGGGTTTTAGGTTCAGGTGTCATTTACAAACGGTTTTACTCCATCAGGGATAAACAGTCCAGATTAGGGGATTAGGGAACCCCATGAGTTCCTTATCTGGAACCTTTCTGCCATTTTTTGTTAAATATTGTTATTTTATTTAGTATTTTCAGACCTCCTTTTTTTATGACTTTCAGGTAAAAACTGAGACAAAAACCGAACTGAACGTGGTCCACGAGCAGAAAAGTAAAGCCACTGTGGAGGAACACCAGAAAATCCTGAAAGGTAACGAGTTCCTGAACAGGGTTTGAACAAACTTTAGCTTCTTTTGTTTGTTTTTAGTTTATTTTTATTTTTTTTCTTCTTTGATTTTGAGTTTCTACCTTATTTCACTTAATTTTTAGACTGTTTTTCCTTTTTTATTTGACACTTTTTGCACTTTTTCTGCTGGATTTTATGTTTTTCTTGTTATTTAAATGGAAATCAGATCAAATAGAGACCTTTTCTCTTTATGAGAACAGGGAAACGTCAGTAGATTTATCTGGATTCTTTATTTTCCTGCAGAGCTTCAGATGAAACACGAACAGGAGAAAACTCAGCAGGCTCAAACGTTCCAGACGGCTGAAAACGCTCTGAAGGTAAAAGTTTTCCCACAAAAGTTTCAGGATAAATTCAAGTCTCATCTTGTCCTCTGTAGGTTTTCATTTGAATTTCTTTAAATTAATTTATTTAAACACAGCAGAACCTTTACAGAGTTTAACTATGTTCCATACTGGAACATTTTAGGCTAAATTTTCGTTTTTTGTTGTGTTTAATTAGAATTATGGCACTAGTTATACTCCATACTGGCAGATTTAAGGCTAAATTTAAGTTATTTTGTGGTTAATTAGAATTTAAGCATTGATTTTGACTCTGTACTGGAACATTTTAGGCTAATTTTTAAGATATTTTGTGGTTAATTAGAATTTAGGCATTTATTTTACTCTGTACTGGAACATTTTAAGCTAAATTAGATTTTTTTGTTGTGATTAATTTGAATTTAGGCACCGAGATGACTCCATACTGGAACGTTTTAGGCTACATTTTAAGTTATTTTCTGGTTATTAAAATTATGGCGCTGATTTGACTCCATACTGGAACATTTTAGGCTAAATTTTAGGGTTTTTTCAGGCCAAAGTGGACGAATTGTCGGCAGAACTTCAGGTTTTCAACGAGCTGAAGAGACGAGTTCAGGAGTCAACCTTCAAGAGAGACCTCCAGAGGAACATCCAGGTTCGGATTACTCCAGGTTTCCGGTTCTGGAGAAACATCTGGGAATAATAACCCAAATCTGTGTCGTTCTGTCCAGGAGCACGGCAGCCCAGGTGCATTCTGGGAGTCCGAGCAGGAGTCCCTGCTGTTCGTCATCGAGATGAAGACTGAGCGCGTGCAGGAGCAGAGCAGGAAGCTGCAGCTGATGCACGAACTGGTAGGTTCTGGTGGTTCTGGAGGTCCAAACGGACCTCCTGATGTAGTGTGAGAAGGTTTCTGGAGGTTCTGGTGGTTCTGGAGGTCCAAATGGACCTCCAGATGTATTCTGAGAAGGTTTCTAGAGGTTTCTGGTAGTTTCTGGTGGTCCAAACGGACCTCCAGGTGTATTTTGAGAAGGTTTCTGTTGGTTCTGGTAGGTTCTGAAGGTCCAAACGGACCTCCAGATGTATTCTGAGGGGGTTTCTGGAGGTTTTGGTAGGTTCTGGTGGTCCAAACGGATCTCCAGGTGTATTCAGAGAAGGTTTACTGGAGGTTCTGGAGGTCCAAATGGACCTCCACATGTATTCTGAGAAAGTTTCTGGAGGTCCAAATGGTCCTCCAGATGTATTCTGAGGAGGTTTCTGGAGGTTCTGGAGGTCCAAATGGACCTCCACATGTATTCTGAGGAGGTTTCTGGAGGTTCTGGTAGGTTCTGCTGGTCCAAACGGACCTCCAGGTTTATTCTGAGAAGGTTTCTCGAGGTTCTGGTAGGTTCTCGGTGTCCAAACGGACCTCGGGCTGTATTCTGAGAAGGTTTATGGAGGTTCTGGTGGTTCTGGGTGTCCAAATGGACATCCGCCTGTATTCTGAGAAGGTTTATGGAGGTTCTGGTGGTCCAAACGGTCCTCCTGAAGCTATGCCAATGCCCCCTGACCCAGATTTAAAGGTCTGGATGTTCTCAGAGTCTTTGTTCTGGTCCTCAGGTGGAGAAGAACCTCTCTCTGGAGGACCAGATCATCAACGTCCTGCAGCAGAACGAGGATCTGAGGGTTCGGATGGACAACTGTCACACTGTGATCCAGTAAGTAAACGCTGCTCAGACGGAGGTGCTGCCCCCTGCTGGACAAGGAAGGAAAAGGAGGAATTTTCTAGGGATTTTTTCCTCCAAAGTGGGAAAGCCTCAGAACAACCTGTTAAATGTTCATAAAACTGGATTTAAACTGGTTAAATTTGAGAAATTCAAAGACAATTTGATTTCTTTACTAATTTATCTGATTCCTTCGCCAGTTTTATGGGATTACATCAGTTTCTTGAAGAAAAACTGACATATTTCCTGACATAATTTTTGTCAAATAAACTCTTATTTTCAGAGGCTGTGTTCATAAAACTGAATTTAAACCGTTTAAACTTGATAACATCTGATACAATTTGGTTTCCTTTACTAATTTAGAGGATTCATTCAAGAGTTTTGTGGGATTACATCAGTTTCTTCCAGAAAAACTGACATATTTCCATATTTTTTTTTCAAATAAATACATTTTCAGGGGGATTTTCCCCCAAAGAGACACTTTAAGCCTCATTTAGTCCTTTTAGCTTCTGAAATCCAGCTGTTTCGTGCCTGTTTTGCGCCCCAAACGTGCAGAAGCTCCATCCGGGTGTGTTTTCTGGCCTCCAGGCAGCTGTCGGTGGAGCAGCAGCAGCTGAAGGCGGCGTTGGACCGGCAACTCGCCGCCAACCAGCAGCTTTCTCAGGAAAAGGAGCAGCTGATGTTCAAGCTGAGACACAGAGACTCCGCCCCCCCCATCCAGCTGCTGGCCCCCCGATGACCCCGGGGGGGGGCCTCAGGGGGACCGGGACCAGACCTCTGAGCCCACCGGGATGCTTTTAACCTGCAGGTTCATGTGGAAATGGGAGATTACGAGCCAGAACTCAGGAGCTGCTCAAGCTGAGAGAGGCTAAGAGATGCTAAGAGATGCTAAGAGAGGCTAAAAGAGGCTAAAAGAGGCTAAGAGAGGCTAAGAGAGGCTAAGAGAGGCTGAGAGATGCTAAGAGATGTTAAGAGAGGCTGGGAGATGCTAAGAGAGATGCTAAGAGAGGCTAAAAGATGCTGAGAGATGCTAAAAGAGGCTGGGAGATACTAAGAGATCCAGAAAGATTTGGAAAGATGCTAAAATATTCAGGAAGATTAAAAAAGATTCAGAAATATGCTAAAAGCTCCAGAAAGATATTAAAAGATTCAGGAAGATGCTAAAAGATTCAAAAAGATGCTAAAAGCTCTAGAAAGATTAAGAAAGATTGTGAAAGATGGTAAAAGATCCAGAAAGATTCAGAAAGATATTAAAAGATTCAGAAAGATATCAAAAGATTCAGGAAGATTCAGAAATATTAAAAAAGATGCTAAAAGATTTAGAGAAATGCTAAAAGATTAAAAAAGATCCAGAAAGATGCTAAGGATTCAGAGATTCTGGGCTCTGTGTGGCTCTGGTCTCGGCTCCTCCTCTAAAGCCATATTTCTGCCGGAGTCTCGTCTCTTTGGCTCCGCTCCATTGTTTTGCTGCCATATCCCATGGCAGAAGCCATGCAGAACCTCCCGTTCTCTTAGGGATTCAGTCATTATTTCCTGGGAAATAGCTGCTGAGTTTGGGAGTGGCTCCATGTTTTCCACCCCGATCCTCGAAAATTTAACCCCCCAAACTGCTCCTTTTTTAAGCATAAATGTTCCTCTTTTTATGCTTTACCACTTAAAGTGCCATATAAAAGTACCCAGGAACAAACTGTATTTATACTGTAAGTATTTTAGATAAATAAGTGTTAAAACAGCCTTTGGATCATCATGTTTTCTCTAAAGAGAGAACTGTTACAACTGACATAAATAAAGAAAAATCTTATGATGTTTCAGGACGAAACTTTTGCTAAAGCAGTCAGAGTGAAACATGGTGTTCTTTACCTTTTTGAGGTTATTTTGGGTCATTTTAATGTTGATGACAGCCCCTTTTTGGACACCACGTCCAGCTGAGAGTTCCTCCAGTTAGCTTACCTGCTCTACTGTTAGCGCGCTACAAGCTAACTGTAGAAATCATGTTTAAACTTTGCGTTTTGTCGAGATAAAACCTAAACTGAGATCATGTCGTCCTGAATTGGAGTCATTTTACTCATACTGGCTGGTTTAAATGTGACAAAGCGGGTTAATAGTGAAGGAAAATGCTAAAGTCGTTGTGTTAGCATGACGTTAATGCTAACGTTAGCATGACGCTAACGTTAGCAAACATAGACTGCTGCTCTCACAGTGTTATATTTGGGTGAAAAAAAACACATTTCTATCTTGTTGTCAACATTTTTCCATGAAAAAGAATTATTAATCTCAGAAAAGCGGTTAATAAAACTGCCTGGTTAAGGTTAGCCACCATGCTAGCTTAAGATTAGTTGAGATGCTAACAGCAGGGTTTAAAACTGTGGTTTCCATTGAATATGATCAATAAATCTCCTGTAGAACTACTGGATTAGAAGCACAGAACAATCACTGTATATTCCTGCCTTTCTGTTGAGTTGGGATGTTTTTAAAGGTTTATTTTTCTTGTTTTTGTGACATTTGAGTTGCCAAACCAGGAGGTTTTAGTGGGCGCTGTCTGTGAGCACCGGCACTTTGAGCAGCTTTTAACAGCTTTTGTTTTTCCTTATGCAGTATTTTTTGGCTTTGCTGAATAAAAAGCTGTAAATATGTTGGTTGTTATTCTTCATTATAAAAGTTTTTGTTTCTCTGGAAAATTCTGAATGTTTTTTATGTCATTTCTTTTGAAAAACAACCAATAAACACAAAAGTATTACAACATTTTCTGTCTTTTTTTGTTTTAATGGTTCCCATCATCAGATCTGAGGTGTAAAATACAACAGAATAAATTAAATGTGGGGGAAGGGACTCAGAACAACACATTTTCTGTTATTATTCACACTGTAGACCCACAAATTAAGCCACAGAATGAACACAAAGCCAGGGAACTGCTCTCCAACTCTTTCATTTGTACTTTACCATTTTTTAGATGAATGTTTATTAGACTTTTACTTCTCAAATAAGGACAGATAAGATGGACTTTTCCAGCCGGTGCAGAGCCCCAACAGGCCAGCAGATGGCAGCAGAACGCAGTCAAGCTCCAGAAACCAGAATCTTTCAGCAGCTTTCATGGAAACATTTTTAAAAAGTCTGTCAAACTAAACTAAAATGGCCTCTTGCAGAGACGGCTTTATGCTGTTCAGCTCCTGAGAAGCTTTAACCACTAACTGCAGACCAACAGACGCTCAATTAGAGACAGAAAAGACCCAGAAAGAGGCCCCTAAAGGCCCAAAGAAAGGCCCAAGAAAAAGGCTGCAAAGGGTCCAGAGCCTCAGAGTAGGAAGCAGTCAGTGTCGCACTCTGATGATGTCACACAGGTATGATCCTTAACCCATCTTATT